CCTTCATGGTGTTTTCTTTCCAAGAAAGTCCACTTTTTGTGAATCCTACCGGAGCTGCTTAGAAAGGACCGCCCGCTCTCCAGCGCGTGGCCAGGAATATTTGGACAAGGCTGCCAGCCTGTCTTCCAATCACGAAATTGCGTCTTACCGGAAGTGATCGAGGGTGGAGAGTGAAGGGTGAGATGAAGGATGGCGGGGATGCCAGCCAGGAGGGAACGGGTAACCGCCTTTGGGTTACTTTGCATGAGGTGGGGTCCCCAAGATTTGGGACAGGGCTTTTAGCAGGAACCTTGCAAGCTTGGGCTTTGGGCTCGCTCAATCCGCTCTGGAGGGGCCCACTACCGCAGTGCGGGCCATCGGACACCTGTTCATAGTGGTGAGGACTTGATTGAACCGGTGGGTGACACCAGTTGAAGGCTTGCTCTTTTCTGGGATATATCCACTTTGTTCATGCGGCATTTGTGATTTTTTTAATGTTGCAAAGGGAAAGCCACTGTGGTACCAATGATGCGACTTCTTTTGAGGAAAAGCACTTGTCGCCCAAACCGATTGAGACGCTTCTGCGGTTTCTAAACCGACCGCCCAATGTTCAGAGGGAAACCTTTCTTGCTGTCCATGACAAGCGCATTCTGATATGACTTGTGGTCAGTTGTTCATTTTGGAGGAAGGGGTGGCAGGCTCCCAATGATGATTCTCAACGATACTGTTTGTGGCTCATGCTTGAATACTGCTCCAGGAATGTCTCGTCGGTAGTGCTGGTGCTGCTGCTGGTGCTGCTGGTGCTGGCGCTGGTGGTGGTGGTTGTGGCCACCGCCACCACAACCAGCCCCACCACCGGCACCAGCACCAGCACACCACCACCAACACCACCAACACCAGCAACACCACCCACCACCCACCACCACCACAACCGCCACCACCTCCAGCAGCAGCAGCAGCAGGAACAACAACAGCAGCAGCAGCAACAACCACAACAACAACAACAACAACAACAACAACAACAACAACAACAACAACAACAACAACAACAACAACAACAACAACAACAACAACAGCGGCGACAGCGGCGACAGCGGCGACAGCGGCGACAGCGGCGACAGCGGCGACAGCGGCGACAGCGGCGACAACAACAACGCAGACTGCAGCCTCCGCAGGAGCAGCAGCAACGACATCCACCACCAACAACAACAGCAGCAACAACAACAGCAGCAGCAGCAACAACCACGACCTCAACCACAACCGCCACCACCACCAGAACCACAACCACAACAGCAACAACGCCAATGACAGCAACAACAGCAACACTGGCAACAACCCCAACAACTGCAACAACAACAAAAACAAAATGGAGCAACAACCGCAACCACAACGACAACGACAGCAACCACAACCACAACAAGTGCAAGAAGAAAAATGAACAAAAGCAACCACAACAACCACAACCACCACAATTTCGACCACTTCCAAAAGCACAACGACAACACCAACAACCAACACAACCACGACAACAACAACAGCAACAACAGAAATAGAATCAGCAACATCACCAGCACCGGCAGCAGCAGCAGCAGCAGCTGTGCGAGCACAGAAGAGCAGCTCAAAACTCAAAGCAAGCGGTCTTCCTAGTGAACTCATGCCGGCGCCCTTGATTTTGTGTGTGAACGTTAGAATTCTGGCGATGGTGCGAATGATCACACGGTGGGAGCCCTTGTGATTGGGGTCCTAATATCATCAGCACGTGACGAGTCACCTTTCATGTGACGCTGGGATTCTTGTCTTTGTGACATAGTGGAAGGCGGAATCAACACATGTGAGCGTTTGGGTCATAGTGGAATCAACGCATGACGGCGTGCGAGTGCGGACATGTTGGTCATGGTGGAACCATTGCACGATGGTGCCCTGGTAATTGAACCGTACCATGTTGCAATCAACACATGCTGGTTGCCCTTGCGTGTGAATGTTAAAGTTTGGGTCATAGCGCTGTCGTAGTGCAGAAGGCACATAGGAGGTCCGGCGCCAACGAACATGCTCCTTTGTGTGGCCTTGCCCATGGGGCAGCGCCGCCAAGGTGGCGCGCAGTCTGATGGAAACGGAACCAACAACAAAGACAGCGGAACACAAGGGGCGGAGCATCCATGACTTAATTTCGCTGCTTTTTGGTGCCCCAACCCCCTCCGCAAATCACATGTTTTTAAATGTAGCCCTTCTTGTTACAAGTCCGCAAAGACATGGCTGAGGTTGTGGGGGCCGAAGCTCAGTACCAGGATGCAAGGAAGAAGTGGCGCGCGCACTCGGTGAGGTACAGCACGCAGCAGCGCCCTGGCATATGCCACGCTTTTGTGGCTCAAACATACGATGTTCAGAGCTTAGGTTCTAGATCGTGGTTTCCCGTGCTGCAAGAATTCAATATCATACCAAAAGGAACCCCCGGGATTTGGCGCACATGATTTTGTGAAGGCTACTGTACCACCAGCAAAAAAGTACGTAGGCACCATTCAAAGCCAAACGGAGTATGATTGTGTATAACAAAATTACTTTGTTTCGAACAATCCCCACCCAATAAGTTTGCCTGGCTACACCAGACAGCAACCACACGCGACAGAAAGTCAATCCGACTGCGCGGTGGGCGCCGTGGCCTGCTCGACGGCAAGGAAACTCAGTCAAACCAAAATGGAACCAAGGCAGCGCTGACCCCCGATCACTGGCAGCCTTAGCTGTTGTCGAAATCACGCTTGCTGTTTGCGGAGACTCCCTTCATCGGGGCACTCCGATTCTTCGAGGTGGGGTTTCTTCAGTTCAGAGTCCCTGGCCCTGTCTCCCTAGCAAAGCTGCAAAATGCAAAGGTTTTTTTTGTTACTGGGCCGCTGGACTTGTGCCTTCTATGATAATCTGAGCTGCTGGCTGGTTCGAAAAGCGCAGTACCCATTGTGCCCAAATCAAGGCGAGGGCCCAAATTCAAAGCAATGCACAATTTTCAAAACAGAATGCAAGTAGCCCAGCACTCGCATCCGATTTTTTGTAGGCAAAGGCTCGGTGCCTGAAAACTAGCAGCTTGCAAGCCCTGGCACGAAAAACGTTGATCACCCTCAACCTTGTATGCCATGACATGACAAGGTGACGAGGCAACAACCTGTCAAACAAATGGGCAAGCAGGGCATGACAGAAGGGCTTCCCAATCAACGTGGCCAAAAGGCTCATCACCAACAAACTAGAGGTTCAAAGGCCCCCAATCTGCAAAGCAAAACTTTGGTTTGAGTCTGCAGGACATGTGTCACGAACAAGTGGCCCATTGCAGCAAAATCAAAACTTGCCAAGCAAGGTGTTCAGCGTCAGGCCTCTCAACTTGCAACAAAATGGCCCATCACCAAACAGCACTCAGTCAGCAAAACCTGGCACCCTGAGCAGCTGGAGTCTTGCACAAAAGGATGAAGGATCAACTTGGGTTGCGCAAGAAGGCTTGCCAGCTTCAGGGCTTTGGCGTTGCAAGAAGCTCGTCAGGCCTCTCATACGAAAAAGGCGCGCGCAACATTGCACAAACTGGAAGTTCTACAGGCGTGAAGCTGCAACGCCAGCGAACCCCTGACTTGTGCCAGCGAACCACAAACCCCCAAAATGCAAATCCTGTCGCCGTGGAAGGCTGTTACATGCACCGCAACACGCGGCACCATTCTGCGCAATGCTACTGCAAGCTATCTAGCGCTACAGCAAGCTACATGTTTCAAAGCGCGAAACCACAGGGAAAGGCCTAAAATTCAGAAGCCCTGGGGCAGCCAAGGGCTTCAAGTCAGCCATGGCCTCAGAGAATTAGGGCCACGCCACGGCAAACAGCCTGTCACAAGCACTGTCGCAGCTGTTTGTCACATCTGTCTGCTGCAATCTGTCGGCAGGTGGGCTGGTTGTGGCGGTCGGATTGCCACTAAAATTCTGACAGCCCCAACCGTCGGGTGGGGAAGCACATGCTGACTCATGGTACCACAGGCCTCAAGCACAAGAAGACGCAAAACAAAAGATAAGCTTTTGGCCAGCTCAGCGGTTTTTTGGAATAGCTGAATACTTGTCAGCAGACGCGTGTGTCCTTGCTTCTTCAGTAAGTAGCCAAAAGCAGTCGCTGAGGAACGCGTTGGCGTGTTTGTGTTTCACTCCGTCACTGGCTGCGGCCCCAAGCCTGATTGCTTGTCCAGTAGCTCAGCTACGAATCGCAGCAACCTCGCATAAGGCATCGCCCAGAGTTCCTTGCTCCGGGCGTGCATTTCTTGTTTTAGGCTTGTAAATGATTCTTACTCATACGTGAGCCCCAGGCACCACGCGCTCGTGGGGCTGCCGAACCTCTATGCCAAAGTGGTAGGACCGCCGGGCCCAGAGCCCAATCTTGGAGACTTCAAGGAGAAGAGAATCTCCAAGCCTCTCGGACTGCGCTTGTTGTTTTTTTCATGCGGAAAACGAGGACTTGGACCTTTTTGCTTGTGAGAAGCAAGGAGTTGGACCTTGCATGGGCAGATATCCTGCTACGTTTAGGTTTATTGGACCCACCGGCACAGCTGTGTTTTATCGTGTTTTCCAACTTCAGGCGAGCCTAGAGACAGATACCCAAAGTGCTTCCAAGGATTGTTCTAAGAGCACCGGGCAACTGGTCCAACTCCAAACAAATCGGCAGGTTTCTTGATAGCCCGAAACCAGACTCAGACAAACCCCCGGTTGGACCCGTGATGAACGTCCCTTAGTTGTGAATTGTGGTGATCAAGCCTTTCAGGACCTTTTACGGAGTGCGGATCCCATCGATGGCTTAACATGTTGTGTTTTGTCCGGGCCACATTTAAACATGTGCAACACCAGGGTCAGTGAACCGGTATGTGACTTCTAGCCAGCCCACTAATGAAGCGGGAACACTCCATGTCACAAATTGACCTGGGCTGATCCCCGGATCAGGGACGTGCAAATCGATGAATGCGCTCGCCTCGCGAACGGCACCAAATGTGTTGGTCTTCCAAAGGGGGACCCTCCATGTCACAAATCGAGTTGGGCTTGAAAGGTTGATCGGAAGCGGCCAGGGAACCCCTGTCCTTGCCAATTCCAAGACCCACTCACACCGCTCGCATGCAATCAATGCTGAGCCTTGGAAAGTGTGTGGATTGCGAGAACCATGGATGAAGTGTTGCGCGTTTGGTTTGATAACGCCGCGGAAGCCCTGCAGAAAAGAAAGCAAATGGAGCTTGAAATGTCGAGGGAGGCTGCGGAAGGTTTGGCCGACACGCAGTGGGCACAGCACAAGCACACCACTCAACTTGGTGGTCAGAAAGGAATCTCAAGTTTTAGTCTCTTTTTTTCCCGAGAACTGAGGGTTCATTGGAGAACTGAGGGATCCCCTTAACTGAGACAAGGATGGCTTGAAGGCAAGAGGGGTCATTGACGCAGCCTTGGAGGGACGCACTATCGGGGTCGGTTTTGGGGCAGCTGCTTGTAATATCTTGTAATTAGCCAGATTTGAGCAACACCATGAAGTCTTCGGGCTGTGGTTATCACGAGAGACTCAACTGGTTCTGGGAGAGCGGTGTTACAGGGTGCAGGGGAGAGCACCAGTAAGCATGCTTCGACCCCGTTCCTCATGTAGCCAACTGATCAAACAGCCAGTCCAAAAAGCAAACAGTCAAGCAAACACAAAAGTTATGTTGCCAAAGTCGCCAAGTAGGCACACAAGCAAACACAAAGACACAGACAAGCAGTCCAAGTAGCCAAGTGGGATACAGAAAGCACATAGACAGGCAGGCAGACAGATAAACAAACACAAAGAAGTGTTTTCCCCTTTGCTTTGATCCCCCACGCGCTGTCCAGCGGCTAGCATTCTCCCGAGGTCCCCAGACCTTACCTCGGAGCGCCTGGTGCGTCGACGCGGGATGCTGCTGAATCGCCTGGAGCAAGTTCCTTTGGAGGAGCCGATCAGAAGTTCCGGAGCCTGTCTTTCCGGAAGACCCATCCAGAGGGGTGGCTGTGCGTCGACTGCGGGATCTGTTGACCTCCCTTTCTTTCTCCCAAGAGTCTAAGTAGGGGGTCGACTTTCGAAATGGGGAGGAAGGCAACGGTATTCTTGCCTAGCCAAGTCCCTGGATCATATTTCTCCTCACAGTTGTGAAAACCTCCTTTCCTAATAAACCAGAACGGAATCCTACTCTGAGTACACACTTGGGATCTCCAAATGGGGATCTATTCAAAACACATCTGGTTTTCCTTCAGCCCTACAAAACGGGTGCTGTCCAACAGACATTCGGCATGTATGTTTTCTCGAAGGGCCCAGTCACCGAAGCAGCATTCCCAGTCCCTGTGTCTCCCAACAGGACGCCACAGGAGATGGACATTCGTTGAGTCTTGCGGACTGGCGCTAGATAATTTGAAGCAGACTCACTTGAGCAGACATGCCGATCAGAATTGCCGATCCCTTCCATTGTCTTCCCCGCTTTTTGTTTCCTTCTTGCGAAAACAAAAGGTACCGTCAACAAGTGACATATCCACATGGCCAGGATGTGTGGTTTCCCTTGGAATCTCCCTTTGGTTTCCCTTTGGTGCAGGGTTGTGGGATCAAGGGAAGGGGGTATCCCCACTGTGATATAAGGGAATCTCCCCCTTTGGGGTCCCTTTGGTCTTCATTTGGTCTCCCTTTGTCCCTTGGGGGGGTTTTTCCTTGGAATCTCTCTTTGGTTAATTATTGTGTCCCTTCGTTGTATTTTCGGTGTCCCTTTGAGTTTTGTGTGTGGTGCCCCCATCCCCAAAGGTTCTGCACAGGACCTGGACCGCCTCCTCATGCCGCCCCTGGAGCTTTTCTACTGGCGCCGTCTCGTGGTGGACGAGCTCCATGAGCCCCTGCGGGCGCAGCCCCGAGCCCGCGGGGCCCGAACCCGACGCGGGTGTGTCCTTTGGGTACCCGTTTTATGGTTGGTTGGAAGGGAGAACAAAAAATTGTACCCTTTTCAAGGGGAAGGAAAAGATCACACGTTGTGTTTTTTGGGGGGGAGCCCCGCATTTTGACTCCACAAATCATTTTAGTTGATATAGGGCTTGAGTGGTCTTATTGCCGAGCACGATCCAGCATCAAAGGACGCTAGGGGCCGGCCTTGTCGTTCCACTCCGTCCAATCGCGAGGCGCTTCGGGATGCGGCCATGTTGCGCCAAGATGTGAAGATCAATGCACCGGCACGGGTCCTGCTTCGTGGCCCAGGGGCTTAGGGAGAACGCGCGGCTGTAGATGGCCGGCTACCTGTTGAGCCACTGTTGGAGGCGTTTTGGGATAGTTTTTGAAGACGACTCTAGCGTTTGCAAGGGTACCCTTGGCTACGAAGTACCCAAATGTATGAAATGGTCTTTTCGGTTGAACATAAAGAGACCTGGAGAAAGTGTAGAACCCCTTTGTGAGGGAGTCTCCTCTTTTTTCCTTCCGGCAGATTCCTCCCTATACGAGAAAGCTTCTCAAGAAGTTGAGTTGCCACACCGGCATGGGGTCTGGATAGGTGTGGAAAGTGATCCCTGTTGGCCGGGATCCAGCTCGGGCCGGTTGCAAAACGTAAGGGCTCTGCTACAATGCGATTTTGGAGAATTTACAGCTGCTAGGCAGGACTGCTCCTTTGTGGAACATGTTCACTGTCTGATCGTCTTCAGTCTTCCTCAAATGCATGGCGCCCAAAAATGGAGCGCGCCAAAGTCGGGTTCTTCTAAGCATTTGTGCTTTGCGGGTTCCATGGGCATCTGAGTAATTACATCTGGGTGAAAGTAAATGGCACAACTTCCCCACGGTTTAGTAGTCTCCTTTACTTACGTCAAGGGAATAGTGCCATCTACTTTTGCTCTTGTATGGATGGGCCATCCAGCAGTTGGGCCACTGATGGCGGGAAGCCACGTGATTCCCTCTTTCGAATGTGGATGTGTTGAGGAGGCTCGCGGCAGATTTGTTATGTAATGTGTCTAGGTCTGGCAAGATGCCCTATAACAGCAGCATGTCATATATACATATATATATATACTTTATATATATATATGATCATATATATATATATATGATTATATATATATGATTATATATATGGTGTTCATATCCGAGTAGATGCTCCATTTCATACGAGCTTCTCTTCTGCAGAGCCAGGAGACAGGTTGGCTTGAGCTTTTTGTAGAAGCAGTGCTATCAACACCACCGGTTGCGAATCTCCGATATCTTCTGTTCCGAAAGCCGAAAGTGACAAAAGAAATTGAGCCCACAGAACACGATCATGGCTTGAGCCCTGAGAGGAAAGACAACGTTGCTGACCACCAAAGAGCAACTGTGCAGCCCTGCCCAGATTGTTTCCAGCACTTGAGATGTCCTTACCCACGCCTAACATGTTCTGACTGGCGCACGCGACTGACTGGAGACTTGACTGATTGTCTGACTGAGTCTCTGAGTGAGTGAGTCACTGAGTGACTGAATGACTCAGTGATGGCTAAGTGCCTGACTGACTATCTGACTGCCTGTCGGACTGGTGTTAAGCTGGTCAGCTGGCTAACAAACCAAATGACGAACTAGCTGTTCCCATCAAGCCAACCAGCTAGCCAGCTAACCAACTAAACAAACAACCGCTACAAAAACCAACCACATAAAGCACAACACTTCAACAAAAGAAGCAGCCGCCCAACCTCTGTTTTCCCCTTCAACTTGGAGCACTTTGTCCAACTTGGCCCCAAAAGAACCCGCCAGCACTCTCCGCACTCCTTTTCTTTGTGCCTTCTTCTTCGCGGATCCTCGCCTCGGATGCGCCGCTCGGCTGCGGGACTCGAGTCGAAGCGAGGCTCCACAACTTCGAGAGCTTCGAGGCGCAGAGCCGCTGGGGGCTGACGGCCACGCCGCCTCTGAGCAGCGCCGCGGAGGTCTCCTTCATGGCGCGGGGGGGAGTCGAGGGAGTCGAGGAGGGATCGAGCAGTTTGGGACAGGAGGGAGAGGTGTGGTCGCTTGGGTTTTTGAGGCTTTAGTTTTATAAGTGCGGCCTTAAAAGGGGAGCAGTAGATTTGGGTGTTAAAGAGTAAAAGGGGGTACAGGGGGGAGTGAAGGTGAGAGGTGGTTTTGAAGGCTCAATTTTTGGCGTACATTGAAAATATGTCGCAACGGGAACAAGAAGAGAAAATTGCGAAAATAATCGGGATGCCCGCTTTGTCTTTATGGATGAAAGGACCCCAAAGGAAACCACACAGTTTTGGCTGGGGCGGTCGCTCCAATTTGGGAGCAATGTTTTTCTTGAGTGTTTACCCTTGAAACGGATTGTCTTTCAGAGGAGTTCAGGGTTTGGGGTTTGAGGGGTCGGGGCACTCTTTTGAAGTGAGCACCCTGGGATACCCAAAGTATCGCTCTTTTTCCGGTCGGTCGGCATGGCTGTGCATTTGAGGGTACCCTTTCTTGGGTTGGTTAGGGAAACCAAAGGAGCCTCAATTGGGTCCGTTTTCAGGGGTCTATTCAACATAACCTTTGTCCCCTGCGCCAAAATTATGCGGCGCGCTTTATCTGGAGGTGGTGTCTTTCTGGGGATGTGAAAGGGGAACCAAATCCAAACCACCCAATCGGGGTGGGGTGAGTTCTCCATTTTTAGGACAAACCTTCACGCAACATATTTCTTTGGAAACAGTGCTCGTTTGAGTTCTGAATGCCAACCGAAGTTTCAGGAAGGTCGACCAAAAGCGAAGGTGGCAGCAAACATACATTCATTTTTCGAGTGTCCATGAGCTGTTCAGATACCACCCATTTTCCCTTTCCTTGAGTAGATGTCCCTTCGATGTCAACCAAAGAAGCGACGTATTCGGATCCACTTCTTCCCACAATCACTGGGCAAGGATGATGTTTTGTGTGTCTTTGGTGAAACACATGATCCACAATCAAACCCCGGGTAGATGAGGTTAGTAAGAGAGACTCCCAGCCATAAATAGCTGCGGCCGCCTTCTCAATTCTTTACATGATTCTGGGTAGACCATTTTGATCAATACCGGGTTTCGATTCTGACATTATGACTCGTACGCCATTAGTCTGATCTTCCAATAAAACCGAGCCAGGCGCGCTTCCATCGAGTCTTTGTGCCGCGGGACAGTGATCTTGAAGCACAGCCGCCCGGTGGAGAGGGCCCGCCCCCCCCCTCCCCCCCCCCCGCCAGAACTGGGCCCGTCAACGTAGGCATCTTGAGTCCTCAGAATCTCAAGGGGGGGTGAAAAATCCCCTTTAAGCAATCTGGAGGATAACTTGGAGGATGTTGTTTTAGTTCACTCAGCGTAAAAGAATGTGACCCCCTCATGGCTTGGAGGGACTGCGCTTGCACTTGTCTGACAGTTGAGGCCTATATCATGATAAAAGTTGAGTTAGGTGGAGTTGCCGAGGGTCGGATCCCTGCATTGTTTGCCTCACCGATTTATGGAGTAATCTCGACTTGACGCTGTGCTTGAACTAGCTTAGGGTGTGGAAGGAGTGGTTGCCACCTTTCGTTTGTCGACAATGATTCGGTTTTAGCACAAAATGGGTGTGTTGTCAACTTGTGGGCGCCCACATCGGTTTCCAGTGTCGAGCGAACAGCTAAGCAAATCACTGTGAGTGCTTTGTTTAGATCCAGGAAGCCGTTATGCCTAGTGGAACCAATTCTTGGCGATGTGTTTGGCCAAGTTTGGAAGTTCAATTAGGTTTTCCAAGCCTCCCCTCAGGTGGGGAATTGCCTCGGTGCCACATGCCCCAGCATGGGGAGACAACACGAGGTTCGGTAAGAGATGGCACCGGGTGCTGAGTTGATACCTTGCTTGGCACTCACTCTTTTCAGGGAAAGGGGCTCTTTGAAAGCGCAGAACGCTACTTGTTGCAGGGGGTTTCCTCATCTTGCTCTCGAAAGGGGCCGACCCCGAGGCCTTAAGCCATGGCCATATTTCAGGGAGGACGTCGGAAAGCTTGCTGTGGCTTTTGACAACCTGCAGAATGATCATAGCCCTTGACATAGATCAATGCCCGCCCGTTAGTGGTTGTTAGCACGACTGGGTTGCCTGCTCCCCAGGGACAGTCTTATCAAAAATTCCTATCAAGTAGTTCCAAATTTGGAACCGCAATGAAAGGCAAAATAATCCTTTTGGAGGGGGAGTAGCATCTTTCAGATTGGGTTGAACTTCTGAACACTCCAGGCACTACTTGGACGAGTTCGTGCGCAGCAATGATCTTGATGTGCAGCTCGGATGGCTTTCTTGTTTTGCGTGATGTGTGTTGCTTTTTTTAGAAGTTGAATACATGCTGTTGTCCAATCACGAGGGTGGGCCAAAGCAGCTCGGGCCAAAATTGTTGTGTTTTTACCACATCACATTACGAATACAGAATGTCGGAGGTTCCTCAGCAAACCTTTTGCGTTTTGCCGGGGAAGGTCGTGGTTCCGGCAGCCTAGTTTTGGCATGACCAGACCTTTGTTGTTTGGAGCTCCTTACATCTAAGATTCCCAAAATGTTTGCAGCCTGGGGTTCAAAAGAAGGCCTGTAAGTGAAACCTGCTTTTCCCGACCTGCTAGCGGTTCTGTGTGTCTATACACAAAAACAACGGCGAATTTATATGTTTAACATGACATACCTCGGTACAAAGATCTTGCAAGGCAGTTCGAGTTACTCGCTTCGGAGCAGAAAGTTTCAAGACTCTTGTCAAATCGGACCAGATTTCAATCTGGTTGGGCAAAAAGTCTGGAGAAGACTCTGCGGGCTTGAGACCCCTGTGTCACTAAGCAGACAATGCGCAAGCTGGACTCTGTGGTTGGACTGTTGGAGAGCGAAGGCAACCTGGAAGGCTCCACATTTGATATGTGCCTTGTTTCTCACGAACTCTGCCGGCAGCCTGGCCCCGTTCTTGCTTTAGAGTGTGAGTAATACTTGTTGTCGAAAGGAATTGCTGTTTCCGGTGGTATCTGTTGGGACGAGTTGGTTCTTTGCCTGAGGCATGCATGTGTAGTACACTCAAAGTATGGATGCAGAGTACAATACGTGTGATCGGTTCTTTCTGTTTTTTGGAAACAACAAATAAACATCGGCAAGCTCCAACCAAACCAAGGAGATGGTTCTCTCCCCCAGTGCTTCCAGTCACCACCAGGGTAGGAATTCACTTATTCGCATCGTGGCCGATTTGTTTTTAGTCACCCACCATGCTGAATTGCTGGACACGGCCCACGCCAATAGCCTGCGGATGTGCTCAGGTCATCCATTCCAATCGAGCACCACCTTGTGGCTGTGCGTCAGACAGGCAGACGGATCAGATGTTTGTGTGTCCGTGTTGATGTTTGTGTTGCTGCTGCTGTCGTTTTGTGAGTTTGTGTTTTGTTTTGTTTTGTTTATTTGCTTGATATCTCGCTTACTTACTTGCTTGCTTGCTTGCTGCACTTGTTTGCTCATATATATATAAGTATATATGTTGCTGTCGAGATTCCGTTATGTGCATGTGTTCCAAGCAGGACAATTACAGGCAGCTCTCGTGGAGATCTTGCGCTCTTCTGTGTGATGCTCGCTTGTGGATTTGGATTGCCTTCAAGATTGTCAGGCAGTCGTTTCTAGGTTACTTGTGTGCGAACTCGAATCTCGCCGGCATTGTGTCCAGCAGACCTTCGTCACGAACATGTGTGTTGTTCGTTTTCTGTATGAATATGTTTCATATGCTTGTGTGTGTGTGGTTGTATGTTGTTGTGTTGTCTTGTGCTGCGTTGTGTTGTGCTGTGCTTTGTTGTGTTGTGTTGTATCAGTGTTTGTTTGTTTGTGTTTTTTGTTTGTTGGTTTGCGAGCTTGTTCGTTTGTGTTTGTTTGTTTGTGTGTTTGTTTGCGTGTTTGTTTGTTTGGTTGTGTTTTTTTTGTGTTTGCTTGTTTGTTTGTGTGTTGGTTTGGTTGTTTGCTTATTTGTCTCTTTGTTTGTTTGTTTGTTTGGTTGGTTGGTTTGTTTGGTTGTTTGTTTGTTTGTGTGTTTGTTTGCTTGTTTGTGTGTTTGTTTGTTTGTTTGTGTGTTTGTTTGTTTGTTTGTTTGTTTGTTTGTTTGTTTGTTTGTTTGTTTGTTTGTTTGTTTGTTTGTTTGGTTGGCGGGCTTTTGGGTTTGTTTGAAATGTTTGCTTGTTTGTTTGTTTGTGTGTGTGTTCGTTGCGCTTTGGTCACATAAGAGATTACTTCCGGCGGAGAGACTAGCAGCTGTTCGCCTGGTTCTGTGTTTGTGGTTGTGTTGGCGGTGCGAACCCTCGTGGCGTCAACGTGCTTAGTTTGGCCCGCCTTGGTTTTTGTTGATCTGCTACTCAGGAAAGGGATAATCGTCATTTGTATTTGGCCTCGCTCACTAGCACAGTCTTGGCTCGCTGCGTTGCGCTTCTCTACTCAAGCTGAGAGAGTAAAGAACGCCTGGTGTTTTAGCCGGGCAAACAACAAAATCTGGAATTCGGTCGTGTCAGCAAGTTCGGGGGCCTTGCGGATTTTCCTTTCGTCTTTGAAAGCCATGGTAAAATAAAGGGCATCACCCCCACCCACCCCACCCACACACACACCCCCCAGCACCCTCCCCCCCCACCCCAAAAAATGGACGGCGAAGGATTCACCGAATCGAAGAAGCCCAATCCGCAGGCAGCGAGCGGGCGCTGTACTTGAACGCTGCCCACGGCCAACCAACTCGTGAGGCGCCGACGCGGGGGCGAGGCTTACATGCATAGGTGTCCTGTTTTCGGTTGTTTTGCTAGAAAAGTAGATGGCGATTCCTGGCTTACCTGGTGGTTTCATCATCTACCAGGGAAACCCATCTATATCTCCAACAAAAACACCTATGCTTACATGGGTTTGGGGAAACGCCTGTGGGGTCTATTCTTCTCCTGGATAGAGTAGATGGATTAGCTGGATTGGATGAATTTGACAAAGTAGATAGATTAGATGGATTAGATGGATTAGATAGATTAGATAGATTAGAGAGTATAGATATAGGTTGGATAGATTAGATAGATTAGATAGGTTGTCTCTTGTTTAGCTGGTGCTTTGTTCGAGAATAGGCTACATGCCACAGCCATATTGAGTTTGGTGCATGGTCATTTTGTTCTCAACATTGACAAGTATTAAGTTTGTATGCATGGGCACGGTAGATCGGGGGATTGATTTCTTCATGCCCCTCATTTGGCCAAGACACCCCAATCTCACCGCTTTGGAGAAGATAACATCAACGAGTGTGGAGTTGTCGGTGTCGGGTTGGTGTGGTTGAGGAGCATCCAGAAAGCTCCCAGACCAGACGATTGCCCTTTTTTGATTGTAGCTCGGCCACCAGCTTGATGGCATGATATGTTCGGGCCAGATTCGTTGAATTCCCCTCTTTGAGATGGTCGAGAAAACAAAAGCAGAGACCAAGCATTGAGGGTCTAACTTTGTTATTGGACAAGAAAGGGAAACCTCCAGACACCTGTTCCAAGAGGGTTTCACCTTGATGACAGATGCAAACATGTATCAGAGAACCTAAATTTGCTGGACATTAGCTCATGGTTCTGTCAGTGTTCAATAGTTTTTAAATTCAATTCTGGCGACCCTTTCCCCACCAACCAGGGATCGACTTTGATCGAGAACTTACTTTCGCTGAGCTTCCGAGCTAAAGACCTACTTTCTGAAATCATGCCCCCTATAGAACCCGTACATACGCATAGAATTTGTTTTCTTTGACTTGATCTTAACCTCGTGTTGTTCTGAACTGCATTTTGTCAACTGGCCAAGAGCTCGACTCGTCGCAGCGCTGTTGATCCGAGGCCATGCTGCAGCTCTGCAACTTCTTCTCCCCGGACGACCGCGACGAGGCCGGGCCCTCGGAGAGATCGGCTTGGGCCCCGATCGGTTTGGGCCCCAAGGTTCGGGCAGCGAGCTCCAAATCGTACGGGCAGCGAGCGCCTAAAATGGAACCCAGAAAAATCGAAGAGTGGACTAAAACCTGCAGTTTTCGGGTGACTTAACGTTATAGCCATGTGAATATCGTATGATTTGTTTTGACTGGGGACTGCAAAAGGATCAAAGCAGCCCCAGCAAAACGGATTCCAGTTCTCATGGGACACCGGTGTGTTGCTTGGGAATCACCAGGAGGCCCACTCTCCCAATTTGCTGCGTCAGCAATCTCCCCTCCCCAGCGGAGACGACGAGACATGACCACCATGTATGTGAACGCCATGCGAGCCTACCCTAATCATCTAGTTGAACCTCAGCTGAAAAATCTACGACCTGCATTACGGCCCATGAGTTGATGCCTTTGATGTGGAACGACCGCAGGGGTTCAGCCTCGTCATGTTGGAAGCCGTTGTGGTGCCGGTGCTCGGCGCCGCCCATGTTTGGCCGAGGACATCGATAATGCCATCAGCAGCACCCGGGAGGACAATGAGCGAGCACTCGAAAAGCATTGCGAGGACGGGCGCCGCGGCTTCCAGGTTCGATTCAGCTGGCAATCTGAAGTCACGAGGCTTGTCAAAAGCCACCTGATGTAGCTCGGTACTTGCACGTGTCACAACCCTTTTTGGGGAACCATGGAGTTCTAGGGCCACCTTCTGTGACACCAAGGGGATCCCTAGTGTTGTAAGGGTTTCTTTCAATCGCACCCGGATTCACACTTACCCCGTTTTACACTGGCCCGTGTAAGGAGGCAGGAGGCTAGAAAGGTTTTTGCGCAACGCGGGATTGTTGCTATCACTTGCTTAACTTGAGAACGCCTGTCCATTGGGGTTTGGCTTGGCGATGCCCTAGAAGATGACGGAGGGACGCGACGGAAAGAAAATCCATTCCCCTTCGTTAGAATCGAACATATTCGGCACGGGAACAAGTTGTTTGCCTCCCGTCATCCACTCTACTGGTCCAGGCACATTCATGCAAGCGAGTTTGTGTGGGGGCCTTGGGTGAGTTGCGCGCAACTTTTCCACACTGCGAAGTGGGTTGTCAGAGGTGTTCAGCAACTTTCAGCCATTGTTCAAGTCGGGAGGGCTCCTGAAAAGTATTTTCTTGAGGTGCCGATACCACCATGTGTGCCAATTTAGGTGACTTCGCTTTGAGTGGCCTGATGTTTAAGACAAATTTTCTAGGGAGCTTGGGTTGGCAGCCACAGCCTTGCTTAGAAAGAGAGACAGTAGGGCCCCCAAGCACCTCAAGGGTGGGTAGGGGGGTGGCGTCAAGGTGTGTTGCACTGGAACGCATAGAAACACGTCAGTTCCACGTCTTTCGTTCGTTGTCATTTGAGCTCTTCAACATCCAAACAACGTCTTGTTTTGCGCCCCGATCGAAATTTGCACGCGCACGCCACTGCCTTTGCGAGGAGATGAGGAAGAACGAGGCCGAGCTGGACAGGCAACGGCCCGGAGGGTCCAAGGCTCACCACTCATTCAGGTTAAGGTGTTCAGGTTGGGGTGCCCGTAGTTTCATGTTTTCTTCGGGTTTTCTTTGGTGTCCTTCTCAATTTCACTTGCAAGCATCCAAGCCAGTTCAATAAAGGATCGCCAAAGTGAGTTTTTCGACAAGGCAGACAATGAAAAAAGGACCCCACAAACAGCGTGCTTGGTTTCCTTGCTGGCCCACACCCGCTTCAGCACCATCCAGGAGTGGGTTATCAATCATTGGGATACATCCGTTTTGAGATGTTTTGACTGCAAGTGGGGGATCATGTCTTCGTGGTGGCTCAACGGTGAGCATTAAGGTGTGTGTTTCTTTTGGCTGTTACAGGATCTGTGTTCCACGGTTACCAGGAGCAGTTTGATTTAATTCTGTGCAAACCATGTGTTACAGGATGTGGACAACGAACCGGACATGTGTCATCAGGGACGGAAGCCCTTCTAGACGGCTGCGGGTTCGCTTCCGCTGAAGCGCTGTCAAGAGTGTCCCTAGCGGTGCAACACAGTGGAATTGCAAGCTTGCTGCCCTTTATGGGTCCCTGCTTCTTTGCAGAGCTTTGGGTTGCTCCGGAATTTATGATGCTCCGGAGTGGTAGATGGCTTTGGTCGCCAACTGTTGGAGCGATGATTAAGCCTTGCAAGGGGACTTGGTTGGGGAGTCCGGCACACTTGAGCACTTGAGCTGCCCCAAAACCTTTTTTTCTTTTTTAGATTGCCCCTTAGCTCGACAAAACCTTTTTGTTGGATTCCTGGATTCCCTTCAAGCCCCATCCAAAGCGAGGAGGGCCAAGCTTGGGTCGGCAGGCTGCTGGACGAGGAAGATGCAAACTTTCCTTCGGCCAAAGACGATGAGGAGGTGAAGAAGAAGAGGGCCGGGTCCCCATTAGACGACCTTCCTGGACAAATTGCCAGGTGTTTTCACCCGACTGGCTGCGTGGTTCTCGCCGGCAACGTAGAAGACCGATGGGTCCGGTGTTTTGCCCCTGTAGCGCACATGAGGCCGCCTCATTCAGCATTTCCGGATGTCCCAACCTATAAAGCAATGAATGTAGCTGCGGAGCTGCAAACTGTTGCAGTGAGAAATGTGCTTTTCATCCCAAAGTCAACTTGCAAAGTGCAGCAACTACCTAATGCCCTCAAAAAGTAATAGTAGTTGTCCTTTTCCAAGATGGAAGCAGACAGGAGGTGTGGTTGTATGATTGTGGCGTAGGCGTCCAAGTGTCTCGCTTGAGTTTGTCGGCCCAACTTGAACCAGGCCCACATGCATCAGCCTTGGCGCGAGCAAAGAAGTGTGTCACTCGGGGTTACATAGGCGGGCCACGTGCCCAGGAGAATTTGTTGTGGAACGCCACAAACCTATGCCAGGATGGAAAGAGCTTCTTTAGTCAGGATTCGTTCTACCAACGTGTGCTGCACGACGGTTAAAGTCATGTATGAAGAAGGGTACAAGAGCAATTCTTACGCATGGAGGGGGGGGGTCCTGCCCCACGCTTTCCGAGGCCAAGATCAAGCGCTTGCAAGATGCGCAGCCCATGGCGAAGCAGAAGGAACGTCGCCTGGAGAGCCGCATCAAGTACTTCGAGGCGGGCATCGGAAGTGAGGCACTGCCGAGGTCTTTAAAGAAATGTCATATTGGTTTATTGGGTTTGCAGGGTTTTCGTTTGGTTGATGTTCCTTCTGGTTTGCCTTGACAACGAAATGGGGGCTTTCCCACACCGCGAGAGAATAGAGAGGGGGTTGATTCCTGTTTCTGGGGAGATGCTGCGAGCGTGCCTCAAACATGGGCGGGTTTGAATAGCCATCACCAACCGAGCAAGAGTGCCAGGAGGTTTCCAAGCACCGGCTGAAGGGGCAACGTTGAACAACGGAGACTTGGTGCACAGTTGGTCCTGTTTGGAGAAACGCTTCCGATTTTCCTTTGCAGCCGTCGAATACAAGGCTTCCTTATGTTGAGACATACCCCTGTTCCCTTTCCAACAGCCTTTGCCAAAGGTTGCACCCCTTTGTTCCGGGCACAGGTCCAAGGCTAGCTACCAGGCCAGATGTTTAGAACGGGCCTTTTGACACTCTCCAGGTCTGAAGGTTTTTCTTGGAACCAAAAGCTAAGGTAGCTGCCAAAGCCTTACGCAGTTACGATTCAGTTTGGGCACGTTTCGAGGTTTTTTCCATCCCGAACGACTTTGGGCGGCAGAAAGTGCAATGGAAACATGGCAGACCCGTGGAAAGGCGGGTACCTTGCAGTATCTTGCAGTGTTTTGAGCGCATGCGACTGACTGGCAATCTAGGATGAGTACTGGGACTCATTATTATTTTGAATTCGGGCACGTGAGCCAGCAAAAACACAACAAAGCACATGCAATCGGAGACCAATACAGACTGCAGCCCTCATCATTCCCTGCAAGGTTGGTGGAACATGTTATTCATACCACATTTTGTTGGTGACTCACGATTGCACATATGCAGGCCAAGTGAGTGTACATGTGTTTTTGCTCATGTGCCGTGTTGCTACCCGCCAACCCACAATGGTATGGGCCCCCCATCCCCCCTTCTTATTGATTGTGTGAAGTATTACTGGGGTCATTATTTCGATTGTTTCCGGGGATGATCAACGTCAGAAAATGGAGGTGTTCCTTCAGACCAATCCAAGGTTTCACCAATGTGCTTCCGCGGTGTTTCCCTTGAACCTACCACTTGGGGCGTGATTTTGATCATGGCAACGTAATGGGGCCAGTATTACTTTGTACTTGTACTCAGTTGCAGGGATAAGAATTGGTTGAGACGCCGGCCAAGTCTCTGCAGGAAGTCTTGAAAGAGCTTCAGAAGCTTGAGCAGGACGAGCGCGCATGTTGCACCAATGCCCCTGTCAGTCGGTGGTAGAAAGCCGTGGACTCCACAGGTTTCAGTTTGGTTCTAATCATGTACCAGTGCCGTCTATGTCTTCAACTGCTCCAAGGATTTTCCTACACCCTGGGATTGCACCCTGGGGAAATTACCCCAAATAGTCCCAAGCAACCCAACACAACCAGGTTTTAGTTGGACATAGGCTCAAATAGGATGATTCCCCGGCGCAATCCCAGGGTGCAAAAGCAACAACCCTTGGACCTGCACACCTGAGTTCGATGAGTTTGGGAGACTCATAGCACATAGCAACTCCTGGCAGTAACATGCTCGGGATGAAGGTTCTGCTATTGATTTGGTGAGAGGTCGACTCCAACAACAGGAAGCTCAGTGTCAATTCGTGCCCTGCATAGATTTGCAGCCTTGGCATACGTGAGTATCAATATTTTGGGAAATCACATTTGTAGTACATTGGCAGATGCGCATGTCACAGGTCCACAGGCAGAGCACAAATCGTAAATCTGAGGATTGTCCAACGCGTGCGCATTTGTTCCGCATGCTGCATTGATGCTTGCTGTTGTCATTTGGATTTTGTCTCCGAACGGGCGAACCCCTGAATCCCGACAGGGCTGGTTCGCTTTCCTTCCTCCGTAAGCCAACCCCGGAAAACGCATACCCTCCAAAGCTGCCCTGACTTTTAGACTTGCGCCCTTCATTTTGGATTGGGGAGATGAGTTACCTGTCACCCCGGAGTGTGCGACCTTGCGCACGATCCTTGATGCTTCTATGGGCCTGTGGGCCACCGATCATGAGCAACGCCGTCTCATCCCCCACGATCGTCACATTTGGGGAGGCCCGCAACTTTGACTGGCAAAGGCATGTACCCCTGAGGGAGACCCATAAGGTGACCCCAATGCATGCTGAACAGCCAACAGGGGATATGATGGCCCTGTCTCCACCACGGGTACAAATCGATGATGCCTGCCGGGCGATCGATGACGAGACGCGAGGACACCGTGGATTGCCCCATTTGCATGACAGCGATGGAGCCCGATGACTGTAGCGTCACCTCCTGTGGCCACATTTTTTGCAGCCCGGCCGGCAAGACACTGTTGCGCTTGGGTTTTTAAGTATGGATGTGAGGAGCTTGTAGATTCGATACCACTAATGTAAGGGGATTTGAATGCGCTCTGGCAAAGGAACAAATTCAGGCACGCCATAGCAGCTTCACAAGGGTTTTTGGTATGCAAACGAGGGGCCGTAATGCAAGCTGCTTTGTTGTAAACGCTTCGCGCGGCCCGCCTCGGCCAGCGGCTATTAGATTTAGAGGCAGCGTGGGCCATGCGTGAAAGCGTCAGCTGCGTGAAAGTATCCGCGCTTGATTTAGGGCCAGGGCTTGCCTTCGGCGCCTTTTGCCGTACCGCTTATGTTCGACCAGAAAGGGGGCCACAAGGTCGTTTTCTATGACGACAGCACACTGCGCACGTGTCCAATGGCTTAATGTGGACCCCCTATTAGTGAACCACAGTTTATTCATTTGGGGGTGTTTTTCCCTAGGTGTAGTGGGGAATCAGAAAGATCACTTTTGGAGGGGCCCCCACTCATGATAACTTGTGGGTTCATGAATATGCTAGGTCGGTCCCCCAGCAGTGCCCTTTTACCCTTTTTGCGGCAGGGTTCCCCTACTAAAATAGACTACAGAAAAAAGGGTTTCTTTATTTTCAACCTCTCTACTGGAGGACCTAGTATGGGGTCCAGAACATCCCAAGCTTTGTCCATGGTGAAGAAAGAGCGGATCCGAGGCCAGGACTGCATCGGCAGCTGCTTGGCAAATGGGCATGGCCACGAGTGGCTGGTTTCCCATTGACCCATTCGGCTGTGGGTCAACACCAATGGTATCATTTTGGGGTAGGTGCACCACCCATTTTAGTCTACTTTAGTCGGGATTGGGATGTTCACTAGGGGTACGTGATTCATGATCAGCCGGTAAACTGAAGGTTCCCTCATTGCCTGAGTGGCCGGGCCACAAAGAGTCCAAACTTTTTGAGCGCCAAACTGGTCTTCCCGAAAAGTTGAACTGCCATGAACACGGGAAGTGAGTTTCAGGGTCTGGGTCACATTCAAAACGAAGCCAGAGCGGATGTGAGACTGGCAGTCTATTGGCTTATTCGGGGGGGCCTATCGGAACGAAGCAAGCCTCTTGTCCCTGTGGTGAAGCACAGCAACACGAACAATAAAACAGTATTCTCTTGCTTGGCATTTATTTGGTCCCGACCATGTCACTTGCACGTTCAGCAGACCATTCTCAACAGTGTTTGTTCTGTGACATTCGTCCACGTATGCTCGCAGTCTCAAGAGGCTATATAAACTGTTTGTCTTGTCTCTTTGCACAGATTTGTGATGCCTCAAACAGGTGAACCAGACACGGTTCCAGAGAACCTGTCCATGATACCATCCGACCCGGACAACAAGTACGTGTTTGTTGCAGCAGGGGCTTTGCCTTTGGATGGGATCCCAATTCTGAGTCGCCAGATCTTCCCTTCTGATCAGCTCCTACGGAACATGGTGGATCGGAAACTTGACAAAACACTGACTTAATACATGGCCCCAACGCGTGCCAAAACTTGAGGGAGCATGTCATAGCGCAGCTGCAGCTGGAGGTTTCAGACACCAGGCCCGGCAATTGCAAAAAATCGTCAGCCAGCTACCCAACAAATCCATTTAAGGCTCTGTAAATGAATATCTTTCTCAGCCAAGATCGGCATCAAAACAGTGGACGCTTCGCCTTGGAAGAAACACAGTGGATCGATTTTCGGTGACCAGCCCCCAGCTCTCATGGTCCGATGAATGAGGTTGGACAGTTGCCTATTCTGGTAGCTCTCCGGCCTGAACCATCACCTGGGACCTGTCAGGTAAAGGGTTCCTCATCGCGGTGCGCGGACAGACTTCCGGAGACAACTCGTTGGGAAGAGTTTCGAGTCTTTCTGGTTCTCAGTATGGAATGAGGGAATGACCCCCGATGACGAATTATCCCCTGTGGTTTCCTTTAAGGGAATCCCTGGGTTCATTCCCACAACCTTGGGTCATTCCCTGCCAATCGAACCAGCAAGTTTATGATGCCTTTTGCAGAAGTCGTGGCTCAGTGTGACCTTAGCTAGAAGCTTCAGATTCAGTTTCAGAAGCTTCGAGTTCTCAGCAAGTGCTCCGGGTGTTTAACCCCGGTTTGCTTTTGGGGTTCAGTGATTCGGCTCAGGGCCCAGTCAGAAAAAAGAGCGTCGAGCGAGCCATGTCGAGCGAGCCCAGGTTGGTTGAAGACCAAGGGCAAGTGCCCCACCTGCAACCGCGAGCTGCAGATCAGCAAGGTGGCTTTGGCCAAGGAGGTGCTCAGCAGATCCCAGGCGCGACTTGGGCGAGATATTCGGCGAGAGGCCGAGGGGTTTTGTTTATAAGTGAGGCTCCCCCAAGTGGGAGTTTCCCACGTGGATTTTGGAGATCTGCTTGGATGGTGCAAGTAGTGAAGCTAAAAGGAAGGCAACCATTTTAGGGACTGAGGCTCGGCGATTCACCGCTTGTGGTTGATTCACGTGCGAGATTTCGGGGATCCACTGGACATCTACACGAAAAGTGTGTCCCTTCCAGCTTGAATTTACTCCGGCAGTTTTGCCTGTAGCGCCAGTGTGCAGTACCCTTTCTTTGGTGCATGCTTGGATGTTAGGACTTTAACTTTTTGCCAACTAATGGGCTTTCCATTAAACCACTAAAAGTTAAACTTTCTGCAGGGGAGCAGAAAGCAACCGAGCTTTCCTTGTGTTCCAGTTGGCCGCAAAACATGAACTCAAAACAAAGATGAGGTGTCCTGAATTGGGGCGCCTTAAGGTAGACCTCCACCTCACCGTTCTGTGAAATTCGACCAACGCCCTGAAGGCGTTGTTCGCCTTGGAAGTCTTCAACCGATCAGAATGAATAGTTTTACGCGGCCACAAGTTCTGCAACTGGAGTTTTGCTTCGATAGGCAACAGCGCACTGGCCATATCACAATTCCGGATGGCTTTTTACTTCAGAACATAGCCTTGCATTGATGGATATTCTGTGTGGACACATGGGAAAGTATACGCCTAGCTTGATGTGACGATTGTAGGGAATCGTGATTGATTGCACACCTGAAGCCCGATTCCCAAGCGGTTCCCATGAGCTGTCCTTTTGGTTGGTTGCTTGCTTGCTTGGCTGGTTGGCTGGTTCGCTGGTTGGTTGGTTGGTTGGCCTCTTTTCATTCCAAACGGCGCATGAGAGGAGGCAGAGAGCAGCCGCGTGTCGCGCTTTGGCTCCAAGTTGGAGGCGCTTTCCGGGCAAAGGATTGGATCGGGTGGGTGGGCGGGTGGGCGGGCTGGCGGGCCGGCAGGTGGAGCAAGGTGTTGTCATTCCCTTTTCTTGGCCGCAAACTTTGTGGTGTTGCGCTCTTTATTACTTGCAAAACTGCCTGGGTTTAAGGGACGAGCAAACGAGGCCAATTACCCACTTGCCAACGAGCAAACAAGCAAATTTAGGTTTCCAATCACCAGGCAGATAAGGGGGAGTATTGTTTGAGAGGTATTACGCTGATTTGGGATTTGTTTTTCCTATATCCCCCCATTTTGACACACTTTTGTTGGCACCCAGAGCAAACATCACTTTCAGCTCAACTTTGTGAGCATAATCTGCCGATTGCTGGTTGCCCATGGGCCTTCTGTTTTGTGCAGCTTCTCTTTCTTGGCTGGCTGATCACAGCGGACGGTGCTTCCAGGTACTTTTCTCAGTACTCCCCAATGCTCCAAGCTGTGAACATTGTAAAAGGCCCATCCATTGGTTCGCAGCCTTCAGTTTGGGATGCGGAGGAGCCTTGGCATGCAAACGTACATGCGTACACAGACAAGGTGAGTGTCATGTTTGTACAACTGCATACAATACAGAGTATACCCCGCTTGCCCAGTGGTGCCCTTTTTCCCTTTTTTTCCGGGGACTGGTTCCGCTTTAAGCTCAACCAAATAAAAGGAAATGCTCTTGTTTCCCTGGGCATCTGAGATACAAGCATGCATTAAACACACATTAATACGTTTGTATTCAACATGTTGTTGCACGGCATGTGTTGCTGCATTTACGTTACACGACGCACGACATGTTCTTGAAGTCTTTCCGCAGAGTCAGCAAGTCCATTGGTCAAATTCCAACGACACTGAATCGCGCAACTTGTCCTGCAAGCGCTACATCATGCTGCAAGCCAGGCACGGAACCTGCAGCTGTCACATTGGTTTTCACCGCCATGCTAGTTTCAAGCTGGACGGCGGCCATTTGCCCGGCCTGGGAAAAGAGCTTGTCTCAATATCAGCCATTCTCTCTCATCCAGTGGGCCACTTACAGGCAGGCCCTTTTGCTAGTCTCAGTTGTATGCAGTACACTGTGTATATATGTATTACACACATACATACATAGGTTGTGTATCTACGCATACATATGGACATCAACACTCACACGCATGTTGTTTTCATAAGCACTTGTAGACTGGGCCACTCAGATTGCCGAGTTCCAAAGAGATGTCTCCGATGGATTCCATCGGGAGGCAGTCTGTGGCCAACTGCGAAAGATTTGGAGCAAAGAGCAGGATGCGAAGGCCCGACCGAGGAATCCCTCCACAGGGTGGGGCTTTCCTTTCGTTTCAAAAGAGGTAAATTGACGACTCCATATCATTGGAGGAATCTCCGTTTTGGGGTTATGAGGACTCCATGCCAATCTGCAAGCGAGTGTGGTGGCAGGTGGAGGATAGTTCATTCTATGAAGTGGTGAGAAATCATGGTTGCCAAGAGTTTCTGGAGGATGCTATAGTACTTTGTGGGGGATGAAAGGGAGGGAATACCAGGGGATACTAGGTGTTAAAGTGGGAGAAGCCCTCAGCAAACTACTCATATGTGGGTATGTGTGCAAGTATGGGGGAGTCCCCAAAATCGTGGTTTTGTTTCTGGTTTCCCTTTGAAGCCAACCCAAAAAAGCTACCCTTAACAGACACGCAACCCGACATGTCAAGTTCCAAAGACTAAGAACGAGATCAAATTCAGATGGCAACTGTTCCGGTCCCAAGAGTCGGATCGTTCTGGTCTGGTCAGCGCACAACGTGTCATGTTCCGCTAAAAGCTGTTGAGAATCGCAGAAATGAATTGGTTCCGCCATAGTTTGAACACAAACTCACGGGAGCTTCAGTGATCCAGTTGCTGGGAGTCTGGGGATCCCGAATAGTCAGTGGCACTGCAACAAACTGGGGCACATCTGGGATACACCGAGCATATTCGTTCTGAATGTGTGTGTGTGTGTTCATGGCGACATGTTTAAGGCGTTGCCAACTGAACTTGCTTGAATGTTTTGCCACGGGGTTTGTGTCTCTCATAGGTTGAATCACAGAACTGGATAATGTTCCCAAGTTGAGTAAACCTCGTTCGACACACATTTGTATTTTCAACCATGGCAGCCAACCACTTGAGTGGGCCAAATAATCAGCTTGCTACCTGATTGCTTCGATGTTCCTCGTTTGCTTCGTACTGCAGCTGAGCTGCAGTTGTTCCAAACTTAAACGAATGTCCCTACGGCTTAGGGGCTGAGCCCTTAGCGAATATCCATACAGCAGGTGTGCGGGCGCAAACCAGTGGACTTTCCCAGGCTGCAGGAAACTGATTCTCCGTGAAGACGGCCTGCGACAGGGCAGGCACACTACGGAGAATCAGATCAGCAGCAAGCCAGCGAGTTGCAAAGATGTATGCGTTTGTTTCAAGTGAAGTTTGTTTTGGTGCATATTTGTGCCTGTCCTTTGTTCTTTCGGATGCCTTTGAATTCTCTGGTTTCCCACACATCCAAAAGCGGAAGTCCCAGCCAGGTGATCATTTTCGTCCAGTTCGAAGTGCTGCTCAAGATGCTTGGAATTAACTCTTGAAATATTATGTCTCAACATAGGAATGGGAGATCCCCCAAAAATCAGTTGGTGTCCTTTTGGTTTCCCTTAAAGCCAGTTCAAAAATGGTACCTGCCAAAAAAGGACACCCCCAGAATATGGGTTTGTGTTTTTCGGGACCCTTTTTACCTGGGTTTGTGGGTGTGGGTTCCTCTATTTTGAACACCCATGGCCCGGCGAGTTCGCAGAAGTTTTCATCCCTTCGCCCCCACCAGCTTCGCTGATCGGAGCAAAGGGATGCTTGCCCACCCTCCCTCGCACCCACCCACCCCGGCCCCCACCCCCACACGCAAGACCACCCAGCCACCAACCCAGCCGCCTCGCGCCCTCAACCCCGCAAAAGCCAAAAAACACGCCTGCGATGTCTCCGCATATTAATGGTGATTGCTCCGCTTTCATGGGAGCTCCACTCGCTTGATCACACGCCTCCTGGCTATGTGTCCACTTGAAAACCAAATTTGGCAAGCTTACATACTGTTGGTGATGGGCATGCCCGAGGCTGCCCGAGGCCGCTGCCGGAATGTTGGGCGTGGGGATGTTGGCGAAGATGTGGGGGATGGTGATGGGTTGGCGGGGAGGCCGCCTGACGGTATTTGATTGGATGGGGTTGGATGGTGTCGGATCGGATTGGATTGGATGGATGGATGGATGGATGGATGGAAGCACGGAGGGATGTAGGAAGGGAGGGAGAGGGACACGGATAGATGCGTAGATGAATTGGAAAGATGAATAGATGGACAAGTTTGTATATTATAGATGAAAAGCTTGATAAATAGATGGAAATATAGATGGATGGACAGATGGATAGATAGATGGACTGATTGATCGATAGACGGACAGATGGATGGATAGATAATCAAATAGCGATTATGTCTATACATATGTACATATATATATATACATTATACCTTTGCATATGCATAACTCTACATATATTCACATTTACACATATGTGCAATGAATGTTACCAGCGAGGGCCGTGTGGGCATGTGAGGAAGATGAAGGTTGCCCTGGAGGAGGTGGGCATGCCGTGCCTCACCTTGCAGGGCTCCGTCTTCGAGCGGCGCCGCGTCATCCGCCAGTTCCACGCCCAGGGGCAGGGGGCCCTGGATCCAGCGGAGTTCTACGACAGCCGGTTTTAGTCCATGTTTCCATTTACCAGGATTTGCCTATGTTTGACCCACAGCCATATAGTGAAGCCACCCCAAAAAGTAAGTTCCTGTAGGGTTAGTTTAAGCATCGCACAAAGACACAGCCAAGTTGGTGGTGCAGGGTGATGGTGCCGTGCCTTCATCGCGGTTTGTTCACGGCCGCACCGCATGGTGGTTTGGCGGGGCCTCTCATCAGCTCTTGAGTGTGGAATGGCCGTTCCCCACATGAGGAGATTGATCATTGGTTCCTGTTTGACAGCTTGCTGAGACCGTCCAAAAATGGGTTCCCATCTGTGTTGCGACCGTGCTCTTCTTGCTTTCATGCTCCATCAGCAATCCCCGCAGCCGCTGAAGCCACTGACGCGAGGAAGGCAATTCATCCGATCACCTTTTTGAGCCAGATGGGGTCGTCTTTTTTTTTGTGGGTACCCTTGTTGGAGTTGTTTTTTTAAGGAAAACCGAAGGAGTCATCACCCCTTTGGAGGGGTTCCCTATTTGAAGGAACCCCCCAAGATATTGGTACCGGGTTGGTACCTGCGGTGTTTCCCTGAATGAACCAAGCGTACAACAAGGGCCCATAACCTATTTCTAGCGCCCCCAAGTCGGGGCTATCTGGTTGGTTTGGACGCCAAGAGCTTCCTGAAGGTAAGGCGCCATTGTCATGACCCGCTCGGCAAACTTTGACTGGCGATGTTTTAGGTACCCTGCATGTACAACCCCCAGCCTTCCGTGCCTCTTGTTTGGTTCTCCTCTCATAAGAGCATAGTGACGCTCTTCTCGGCTGTTGAGCATCGCTACAGGCAGATGCTATGACGGGAATCACAGGTCAATCTTTTGGCTTGCCGCCATTTCAGATTCGTTTTTGGCAATTTTGGGTGTCCAAATGCCCCAGATTGACACATATGCTGCCGTAGACCAAGAGGAAAGGGAGAACCAGCGCTGAGCTGAGGTTGGACAATCGGCTTCTGCTGCTGTCTTTGGAGCGGAGTCCTGCAGGCATGAACTTGGTGTGCCGGGTGGCCCAAGATGATCCAAGATGGGCGTGTCTTAAAACGGGGAACCCGGCAAAATGATGCAAGGGTGGTCCCTGTCGCTGCTCTTTAAAACCCAACCAGAAGGGGTTGTCTACCGCGAAAAATGTTAGACACACCCAAAATCGGGTGTTTCCCATTTAGGGGGTTTGGAATTGGATGCTTTCCGTTGATGGTTCTTTTAGAATGTTGCCTACAGGAAGCCAACCGGATTCCGACATGTGATTCCCGTTCCGGCTCAGCTTGGGCTCCTTGATACTTGCCCTGTGGCCAACGGAAGTGAAATCGTCTTACACCCTTTGATTGTCAGCTTCCAGGATTGCAGAGAGAGTAATTATCCAACAAAACCATGCAAGACTCAGGGATGCTAATTTCAACTTAAATCAGTCGTGGTTGGGGTTGGGGTTGGGATGTTGCCCTTTTGTTATCTTGTTCAAGCCAAGATCACCCGAATGCAACCAAACACGGCGGGATTCATTCCGGTTGGTGCCCACCATGAATGCCTCCCAAAAGAGTCCCTGGCTCCAACGCCGCCTTTTCCATCGGGACCTATCCAGGACGCCCAGACCACCTCAGTGCAACGGCCTGGTCTAGTTGTGGATGGTTGCAAACATCCTGCAGCCAGCTGTTAGTATTCCTAGGGTTTCGTCCATAGCAGGAATACGATGGCAGCCACAGGAGGTGACTGAAATGAACGAACATCGACGACACAAGAGTTGTCGTTTATGCCCAAAAATCGACAATCGTTCTATTCTTCTATAATATATCCCTTATTTATTGTTGGTGACTTACTAGAAACATCAATGCCAGATCAAAGTGTTTGATAAGGGGGTTGCACATTACTTGGAATTTTGCATCTTGACGGAGGTGGCTGTGCGATTCCTAGTTGGCTGTGTGTCAACTCGCAATTAAGCGCGCAAGGACCAAACACTGAAAAGCCATGTTTACTCAGGTCACGTTCGGAGGAAGTCGTGATTCCATGAGGAGTGCATTTTTTCGTGATGAATGTTATTTGGTACGTGCATGCCACCCTGCACATCGGACATGTATTACAATTGGACGCCCCTTCCAGATGCGTAGCTTATGTGTTTTCCACGAGGTTTGCCAGTAGTTTGGCCGCATGCTCGTCTCTTTGCCTATCGAGCTCACCTGGAAAAAACCGCTTACCGATGGTGGTCTCCTAAACAAATCATTGATTCATGTTTGTGATGTTTACCGTTTTCCAACCAGCATGGAAGTGGACCAGGGGCCATTTGTCCAAGTGATTCGTCTTTCAAGACCCCACATGATCTACCAAAGCATGGTTGGCTGGACAGAAAGGAATATAAATTGCAAGCATGATCGGCCCATGAATACGACTCAGAACCCCAAGTCGCCGTCAAATGATTTAGGCCGTATGAAGTGGTTGGACATTGAATCCCCTACATCATCTGCACCAAACTTGCTGGTTCTCAGTAGGGAATGAGGGAATGACTCCTATTATCCCCTATGGCTTCCATGCTTCCATCAAGGGAATCCTCATTCCCAGCCCCAACACCCGGAAGGCGGTCCTCATTTTCTACCCCTCGCACCTGCGAGCCAAGGGTCTTCGCCTCTTCGGTCGTCGCGCTGAGGCTCCCACCACTTGGTTTTGGTGCACCCCATGCTGGCGGAAAGTCCCAAGGCTGCCCTGAGCTTCGAGCGCCAGGCGGAGTCACCCATGCGCGACGCTGGGAACGTGGGCAGACTGAAGCAAAAGACCAAAAGTTCTGCATGAAGAAACATTATATATACACACATTATATATGTATGTACAAACATAATATATATATATATACACATACATTATTTAGTGTACATACATATGGGACACTTTGTTTCAAAAGGGGCAAAAGTCACCACAACACTTTGCAAATGGAAGGCCGCCTTTTAGAAGGGGGTCTTTTCCATGATCAGCATGTGACGATCTCAGCACGGCCACAATCAAGTGAAAATGGAGCACACGATGAGGAGATGACCAGGGAAGCTTCAGCTGTACACACATTTGTTTCGAAAGAACATCCGACCGAACGCTGGGATTCTTAAGTCAGGAAAGTCTCGGTGATACCGCCACACAGGAGGTTGAGGATCTATCCCGAGAATTTTGCTGGAACGCAGCCAGGAGATTCACCCGCTGTGGCAATGGTGAAGCCTTTCTTCTGAGTTAGTTGGATTGTGGTTTGCTGTAAAATAGCTTTTCGAAATAGGCTTTTTGAGTGTAGATGTGTTTAGTGGCTTCTCAAGCAAATGCAAGTTGGGCCTCCATGTTTACTGTAGGATGATGACGATGATGACGATGACGATGACGATGACGATGATGATGATGATGATGGCGATGATGATGACTCGCCGACAAATCCAAGCAACCAAAAAGGCGAACTGGGGTGCGGACAAAAACAAATCCGGGGGGGAGGGGCGGAGGGATCCAATTAATGTCATCAACAAGGGATTTATACAAAGCATTTGGGTTCCCAGTGAGAGCAAGCCCTTTCCCCACATCTTGCAGGCCATCGGCCGAGTGAGGCGCCAGGGGCAGAAAGAGACGGTGCATTTGCCGCTTCGGCAATCATTTGTCACACGCACTGTGGGACTCACGCGCTTGGGTTGGCCTCATGTTCAGAAGTGCCAAGCTTCAGATTGGGACTCGTTGAGCGGGTTGAGCGTGAGTGAGGTGGGATGTTCCTTAGACACTTGGTGACACCCGGGCCCCCGATCCCAGTCGAGACATAGAACATTGAGGGGTCCCGTTGGCAGTTGGTGGTGTATGGCGTGCTCCATGCCTCGTGTCAAATCAACTGACGTTTGATTTCAAAGAACCGGTCGCAATTCCCAAAGCAAGAACCCGAACATTTATTGGGTCGCCTACTTCTGCAGTTCCCACCACTAGAGTCAGCGACCAGAAGGCATAGAGCACGCAGCAGCTGCTTGCTGTCATGGAAGCACTGGGAGGAACCCGCGTATTCGATGTTGCCAGCCAGACTTGCATTTTTCATAGCTCCATTGCTGAATCGCAACGAAACTACAGTTGTGGGCCAAGGTTTCAGTGGTTGGGTTGTTGCCTTGAAGCTTACTGGCTTGGAGCTAGCATATATACGAGGTGCATAGATCTTGGGGTCGCTTTGTTGGGCTTGTCTTTTTGCCTTGCATCCTCTCGCATATGTTTTTTTGATTCTACCCTCCAATTAATATGGAACCTGAGGGGTCCTGGCTTGGACCATTAAGGGACCGGAGCCTTGCAGGTGTTCAATATGATTCGCAAAGTTGGATGAATTTGCTCTGACATCTCTCTGATCGCTTAGGTACCGGCTCTTTGTGCGTGACACCATGGAGGACCCCTTTTTTGTGTCTCTTGGGCAGCCTCTCTTGGGCTCTTGGGCGGGTGATCCATACGCTTGGGGCCTTCTTCACTTCTTTGCCTTGGGCGCTTCACATTCCAATGATTGGTGGTGACAACCCACGAGGCGGTCCGTCTCGAACATTGCCTCGTCCTTTGGGTAAGCAGCAAGTAGCTCAATGTTTTTAGCAGGGAGCCCAAAGAGATGCCTTTTTGAGCGGCTGTTTGCTTTGGCACTCCGCGCTACCGTTGCATCGGCTGGCTTGAAGTGTTTTTTCCTTCCACGAACCCTGCAATGCGATGTTGTTTTCTAGTCTCCGATGTTGCCATTTGGAGAGTGATGCTTTGTAGAGCCAGCCAGCCCGATGCTGGAACTCAACACCATTGCAATTCCTGGTGGCTGCAGTGGAGCCGCAGTTGATAGTGGTGCTCCCGAGCGGTTGTTCGAATCCTTGGGATGGTCAACTGGGTACTCTTCTAAGCACAAAAGCACGTGAGCCCCCAAGAAAAGCCTAACAAAACAAGCACATTTGATGGGCCTTCCTTGTCGAGACTCCTTTTAGGGGTGGCATGTGCCGCGTGCTGATACAATTCCTTACGGCTTAACCATTGTACCGGGTTTTGATTATGACTCACATGCATCGAGGCTTCCGCATGGCTTTCCGCAAGGCTTCCAACGAAGGCTGCAACCCTTCAGCTTCCCTAAGGCTTCCCTGAGGCTTCCCTGGGGTTTTCCGAGAAGTGTTTCTTCCAATTTGCGAATTCAGCCAGACAAATGTGGTCCAATCAGATTTTCCTGGGTTCCCCATCTGGCGAAGCTCCCGAAGCCAAGGCTTTTCCAAGATACTCGGCAAACCCCTCCTTCCCAGCAAAAAATGATAGGTCTCATATGAATCCTGAACCCATATTTTGAACCTCTGGTCTGAACCCCCTGGTTTACGGCTTAATTATTCATTCATTCTGGCTCCCTGTTCATAATTCAGCGAAATGTCTGCCAATAATCTAAGAAGCAGCATGGGGATAAATGGCTGTGGGTCAAAAACTGTACCAAAATATACCAAAATTGCACCTTGGCAGATGGAACAAAAGACTAAAACCTGCGTAACCCCAGTTGTGATATTTTTGAGCCACGCCTAAATGAACATCTGGGTTTCCACCTTTGGCCGACATCTCAACAGGAGGAGATGGTCAAAGAGCATCACCAGCTACTGGGAACAGACCAGAAATCCGCGGAGCCGGCTGCGCAACCCGCCAAATTCATTCAATTGGGTGGGAGCCGCCTCCAGGAAATGGCGTTGGCACACCGGTAGAAGACATGGTAAAAGGGGTGAACAAGGTAAGAAGTTGAGCGGGAACCTTTTCAAAGAAGGAACACGTCCGTTGTTTGAAGACGTTCTTGGGCAAATCAGATGCATTTTGGCGGCTGCACCGTTTGCGAGAGACTGTTTGTGGGGAGCGCCGCTGTTGAGGCCCTCCGGAAGTGCTTCCTGAGGCGAGCGAAACCGACATTGGTTAGTCGCAGGCCTCTTCAGATTGACAACAAGGAAGCTTCCAAAGCGTGTGGGTTGCCAGAGTTTGTGCGCCACCTTCCACACGGAAACCACCCATTGCGTCCATTGTTTAATTAAGATCATTGATCAGTTACCCCTGTTGGTTTTAAAGGGATTCTAGCACTGGCAATGTGATTATTACTTTTCCAGGCGACGAAAAGCGGACATGTGAAAGCGGATGTGTGTTGTTTTTCTTTTTCCACGGGGCAAACCAGAAATGGAGCGTAGAGTTCCCCAAGGCAAGTAGAATTCGTGGGATTCTTTGAACCCGGAACAAACCCAGCCGACGTATTGCTGCCCTTTCAACATAGACCCAGTTATGCAAAGGGTCAAGACAGATCACATTTACGCCTTAGGGGCACCGACAAAATAGTCTTGGCCGATGCTGAGCTGCAGATCGTACAAGCACAATCCGTTTTCAAAGTTGCCTAAGTCGATTCCCTACTTGCAAGTCTCCTCCTACTTGACCTCTGTGTTTTTCAGAACCAAGTCACTTGAGCCTTGCTTTACTTGCAATAGTTGGGGAGTCGGCACTGGCGTCAAACTCGGGGAGCTTGGCGGCGTGCTGACTTGTGGATTCCTGGGTGAGGCTGATTCGTTCATTTCAGACGGTGCTTTGTCTAATTTGCGGGACTCGCTTTGGATGCATGTTTTGTTTAGTCAACCCACGCTTACCATATCTTACCATTTGCAGAGGTTCCCGCCATTAAGCAAATGTGGGCCTGTATGTATAGTGACATTCACAGAAATTACGAGCCATGCAACACGTAACATGATCCATCGCAGCAGCAGAAGTGTTGCATGGAAGTGGCAAAGCACTGACACCAACTGATGTTGCATGCACACCTGCCGGGCGCCACATGCACTGCCTGCCACCCGGCAAGCTGGATGCATCCCAAACTCATGACATTGATCTGGTTTCTGCCACATTTCAAGTCAGCCCCACCCTCCTTTCAGCTTTCGTCAAGCTTTCCTGGCGGAGAACCGCTGATTTCCCGAATCGGGGAAACATTGGGTTGCCGGAGGAGTCGTCACCTGCGCGGTGACGATTTCAGAGTTTCCGGCCGGGGTGCGACGCGCGCGATGCGCATGCGCGAGCCGGTCCCTAGACGGCGGGGCACCAAAGCCTTTTACCCCGGTACCTAGCTTCAGCAAACGGAGGCTTTTTTACTTGGGATGATCCGTTGCTTGGTTTTTGTCACCAGAGAGCGCTGGGTGCAGATGCTGGCAGGACCTGCTTTGTGGCATGACATGAAGCTCGGACTGGCGAAAATAGATTTGGTCTCAGCCTTACAGAGCCCTCCTCTCGGTCGCAGCCAGCAAGAAATTTCAAGGTTTACTGGTTGAGGGGGCTGCGCAACCAGGCCTTGTTGGTGTACAGAAATCGTCGACCAGATGACATCATAGACGGCAGGCAGAAGGCATGAAGTTGGTCCTTGGGGCTAATGCATATCACAGCGAGCGACTGGCGAAGTATTGATGTCGATTTCAATACCGACCCAGGCAGGAGGATGTTAGAATCAGAGGAATCCCCGAAACACCTGGATCACGTCCTTTCTCAAAAAAAATAATTATTATTATTGAATAGGACATTATATTGATTTATCCAGGAACAATAAATTACACAGTCAGAACCAATGACAACGGGGTTTTTGTGGGTTCGTTTGTGGTGATAGTTCTTGTGGTTTCCCTTCGGCTTCTCTTTGGTTTGTTTGCCTGCTTTTTGTTCTGAGGACCTGGGTTTATCCACCCAAGTTATGGTTGGTTTGGTTGTGCTTTGCTTTTGCGGGGAAACCCCGAACGAAAAACGCCGACCTTTCAATCAGGTGGTGCTACTTGTGGTGTTCCTTTCCACCAAGATATTTGGAGGATACTGGCACATCGAAGAACCACCTGCTTTGCACGGGGCTCCTTTTACTCGGCTAGCAAAAAGTGTTTGTTGATAGGCCGCATAGGCCCAAATGCATCCTTTGAGGGCCTTTTGGACGGGTCCCTGTATCTCAATAAATTCCTTAGCCCAGATTCACCCATCCCATTCTGTTTGCTCCGCCGCCGGGCCAATCGCGCCGCTTTCCATCGCGAGCTTCGGGCGCATGGGCCGCACTTGGGGTGAAAATAGAACGCGGCTCGGGGTGTTTGGGAGGGATCCATGAGGGCGAGGAAACATAGCAGAATATATGACTATAGGTAGTAAATTAGTCTACATGCGGACATACTTATGTGAATGTGAGCTCATGTATATATATATATACGCATATACATACATATGTACACATGTAGACTGACAGTAGTGGTGTTTGGTGCAGTAGGGGTAGGCCTAAGAACTCAGAGATGCGCAGAGAGAGAGAGAGAGAGAGTTCCCTAAATATCCCGCATCAAAGATGAAGCCAAAAGAGTTCTGAACTTAAAACGACATTCGTTCATCTTGCATGAGGAAAGTGACTGCAGTTGATCAATGTGTCAAAGAGCTAGGGGATAACATTGGGTGTCGGAAGTTGCCGAAAAGTTAGTGGTAGATTGAGACGGAAATTCAATCTTGAGGGGTGAAGCCATTTGCTGCCGGTAGACACAGCATGGCTCGCTATTCAGCTGTGTTTGAACGGAAAAAATACAAAACACGTTTTTGTTTTTTTGTGCCGCGTCACTGTTTGGCCGAACCCATGGCTTTTACCTGAGGTTTCCTTGTGGAGGTACAGTTCTGAAGTCATGAGTCACTAGTTTGCATACCCGTTTGGTGGTAACCGTCCTTGGACTCCTTGGAGACATGTCACTCACTCGAGGTTCCATGGCTTGAGCCGATTGGTTTACTTCTGGGCTCCGGGTTCTGCAGCCCCGAAAGCACTGGTGGCCCGGTGGCCGGTCTTTGTCAAGTACTGCCCAGGCTGGGGCGAAGTACAACAGAATGTAACCTATGAAATTGGAGGTACCGGGCTACAGAGTTGTTGCCAGCCAGAAACGTGCTTCGCTTCCCTGCTGTTCGCTGGTCCATCCGGATTTCATGGAGTTGCTAGGAACACCTCTGCCTACGAAGCGGCCTCCAATTAGACGTTGACTGGACATGCCAAACCGCCAGTTTAGGACCATCCGCTCGCTACACTTGAACTCATTTGACCTGCGGTTCGGTGCTGCGGCCTCGCCTCTCGCGGCCTTGTTTTGGTTTTGGGTTCCTTGCTCCGGGCTGGCTACGATGTGTTCTCAGGGAAGCCGACCCCTAGAAAGGCTGCTCAACGAGTCAAAAACCAAGTTGTTTCTCATTTCTGCTCAGTTTGGCTTTTGTTTTCCTTTTTCGGTGTTCGCTCTTTGCTTTCCGTCTGCTTCCGACGGCTTGACCAAAAACACGACTCTGGCCAGGCTAGGCTGGAGAGCCTGCAGGGCGCGCCACCGGAGGCCATCCGGGGGTTAGAGTGCGGCGATGGTCGCCCTACCAACACGGCAATCTATGGTTTTCCTAGTAGTGGTGTCCACTGCGAATTACGCATTTGGGATTTTGGGATTAGGAATCCCTTCATTTTGTGTAATGACCCAGATGAGTATGGCTCGTGCCCATCGCAGTCCTGACTCGTAATCAGCAGTCGCCGGTTTGAGGTTTGAGGCAGCCAATTTGTCCTTTCTGGTTTTACCTCAAGCAAACAGCACAAACACAAGAAGATACGGGCGTGTCGCTGGCACAGATGCTTGATTCAGGGGCTATGGTAAAAACAAGCACTGTGACCACTTTGAAGCTCATTTTCCTGGCCTGTCACCGAGAAGCATCGGGGGGCGTGCATTTGCAACGAACCGATGAATTGAAATACTACTGGCACCAGACAGGGGTTGTCACACGGGTTTGACTTTTGAACCATCAACAGGATCTAGAGGGACGCAAAGGGACTTCATGAGTATTTCGTCGCGTGACGTACCCTTTGTTGTTTTTTAAAAGGGGGCACAAGGCAAACCGAGGGTGTGCCTGGAATCACTGCACTGCGATTGTCGTCAGATTGGGGAAACCTCAAACTGGTTGGATTACTTTGGTGGCTTACCTTCAATCCAAGCCTTATCCAGCCTCAACGAGATGAATTGCCGGCAGCGCAAGAATCAGACATGGATGCTTTGAAGAGCCGGAGACAGCCCGCACTATTGCTGTCCTGCCAGGCCATTCGACTAGACGCACCAGTGCGACCCTCGCTGCTTGCGCGCTTTCCAAGGCTGGAAAATGTTTATCGGCCCGCGGCCTGCCTTTGAGCCCAAGCAAGCCCAAAACTTGTTTGCGAAACATCGCGTTCGATATGCTTCGGGTCTTCCCGATTTCCTCTACACCAGAGCAAACCGAACACAGTTGAGGCCTGGACGTTGGTTCTGTTGTTGCTTGATTCACTGTGGAGTCCAAGAGGGCCGGCCGCATACCGCTGTGGAAGGGATCTGAAGCATGTTGGTATTTCTTTATGTGTCTGTGTGCTGTTTCGGGGAGTCGTTGCTGCCTTCTTCCAACATGGTGTCCACGAAAGTCCAACTGTCCAAAGCACATCCAAAGCACCCTTCTAACTTTGGGAAATTCGCTCCTTGGACAACCTACACCGGTTACCGCGTTTGTATGCCTGTGTCCGTGTTGACATGTGCCCGGCTTTGCCGGGGCAGACAGCGTTGTCGCTCTCGTTGCAGTTCCTCCATCACGGAGCTGGTGCAAAGCCTCCTCCGACTTCTGAGGCCACGGGCGTAAGAGGGACGCGCACGCACGACTCGAGCCTGTTTGCCAGCAAGGCGAAGTGTGCGGATGACGAATGTGTAGGGATTCAATCAACCAAAGTAC